GGTTACGTAGTACTGATACCAGCAACTTCTTATCAATACCAAGTCTCGGTTTCCATCTCCGTAGGTAGATGAAATCCACATCTCCGCCATTCTCCAAGTCTCGTTTGCAGGCATGAAGCTTCTTCCGTTGTTCCTTGATCTTGACGACACTGTTACCAAACGCCTTACGAATGGATTTCCAACCTCCACACCAGTCATTACCCGACTGTAGGGATACTTGGAACTTCCAAGTTCCGAAGTCTTCTTGACTGCATAACTGTTGAAACAAACTGACCGTCCATTCACCAGTTTCTCCTAATCGCGCCCTCATTGGTTGTCAAAGAATGCCTCTCGGTTCCCTCCACTACATTCTTACCCCTTCTCCTCCTCTCATTCTTCCCTGTCCTCCTTCGACCAGTGGCACGTCTCCGCGTCTTCTTAGGTGGTCTACCGATGGTATTTAGGACCAGAGACCATCTCGAGATATACAAATTTTCCACATTCATCAACTCTTCTTCCTTACACGTGTCGATAGGCAGAAGTGTGTAGGATTCACAACCAAACATGCCCCACCAACGGTATGAGTGGTTGTGTTTCTTTCCCCTTCCACCTACCGAAACGTTCTCTTTCCAGCGTAACACACCGTTCCTAGCTGTTTGGCCAATATACTGAGCTTTGCACAGAGGCGAAATAATCACATAAATGCAACGAGGTACACTGGAGAAGATAGCGATTCCAAACTGGCCGTACAATCTGACCCAAGAGTCAGTGCATTTATTCAACCAACGAATCTGGTTATTCAATCAGCAACACCACCATTAGGCGGTATAGTAGTATTTCAAGGTTGTTGTTGGACATCCCCTTCTCTCTAAGACCAATTGCACAACGGCAAATTCCCCATAGCTCCTTATTCGTCCAACTTCGTTAGTTCTCCCCCGTAGCCTCATCATCATCAGCACCCTCCGTTCGGTTTTCCACGTTAGCGGTCTTAGCACCCCCTCCATCTTGCCCATCTTCTTCTGTTGATCCCTAGGCTACTTGTACCCTCTTTTCGGTAATAGCCAGGATGATATTCATCTTCTTCAGTCCTTCATAGGCTACGTCCTCTTCATGACAATCTGCTTCAACTCTTCCACAGCCATACCTCCCAATTCGCGAAGGTTGTAAGTGACATATCGGACCCGACCCATGGGTCCGACAACAGTCGGGATCTTCTTCTTCATCGACGATTTCTTAGGGGTCTTCTTTGTTGGTGATTTCTTTATTGGAATTGGTTTGCAACCGAGCAAGCGTTCTGTTATTCGCAACTGCGGCCGTACAAATTTTCTCGAGGTATGCTTGGCTGGTGATTCCATGGGTGGGTTGTCCCCAATAGTCTTTTTTGGTCCTCGTCTTCTCTTGTCACTGATAGATAACTGTTCGGTCTTTTCACTCATAGCCTCGACATCGCTTTCATTTGAGTCAAACTCCTCATCGGACGATAGCGCAGCTCGAGGTGATGGTACTTTCGCCTATCCTTTCAACTTCGCGAATTCTTCCAGACATCTATCCATATGGTATTTTAGCTCCTCGCGCAAGCCTCCCATATGCATCGATACTGCCACACTTGCCTCTTTTTTTATCAACTCTCTTTGCTCCGCCAGCCTCTTCATTTTTTTTTTTTTTTCATTCTCCCGACGTTCCACCTCTATTCTCTTCTCTATTTCGAGGCGTTCAGCTTCAGCTCTTGCTTTCTCCTCACGTTCTTTACATTTTGCTTTCTTCATTCTTACGCCTCTCCTTCTCCTCTTTTCTTGCGTTCTCCTTCTCAACGTATTTTTCATCGACGCGATGGTGCTTGAAAGATCTTCCAACCGCTGCTTTAATGTAGGCTCCTCGGAAGTCGATCGTCTATCTGGATGTCCCCTGAGTCTCGAATAGTACTGAGGTGATATCGAGCGGCCACGTGATGGGTATCGAGAGTCTCCCTCCCCATTAAGTCGTGGGGATTGGTTACGGTAATGCCCCGGTTCACCACACTCATAACAAGTAGGAACAAAACGCCTGGGTGACTCCCTCGAAGATGCACGGCGTTCTCTGCCAGAATCCGGATGCTGCTCCTGTCTCCTGTCGTCACCTCTATCTTGATCACCATCACGATACCCAAAGCGCCCTCGGTCTTTGTCGCCGCTTTGTCAGCAGTCTCGGTAACTTGAACCTCCTTCAAACATGTTGCCTCGAGCTTCGCAGTTCTTCTTGATGACGCATAACTGTCCGAGCTTAATGATACGTAACAGGTTGGTAGTATCATAGTTAAACTCTACATGCTCACACACACTCGGCAAGCCTTTCCAAGCGGGTTCACATGAGCCTTAGCAGGTTAACTGACAGGTAAGAGAAAACTCAGCAGACACATCAATGACCAGAGTAGCAACAAAACACTAGTAAACAGTCAAAGACAAAGCCAAGTTATCATAGTACTTAGAGTACAACAAAGATTGCAAAGCCGGTGGGTATGACTACTCCAACTGGTTCCGACTGCCGCCACGCAATCATCATCACAGGGCTATCCGCCAAACTTCTCCCTTCGTCATAGCCAACTATCTACATTCCCACCTTCACCGTTGACCCGTGTAGCATTCAGAGAACTACCGGGTATCTATGTCGGGCCCAAAGAGGCCAAGAACTAAGCAATCATTACTATTATAGTCCTTCCATACCTAGTCCTAGCGTCGATACCTAAGCTACTGTAACTATTCGAATCGGCAGACCTAAGTTAGAAACCTCGAAACCTCGAAAAACGCGAGAGAAAAGGAAAACAGAATCTCCATACTGACAACTCCCGTGTTTACTCGGATTCAACTAAGGGGTAAAGACCTCGATGCTGCCCACACGACCTCACGAGTAGAAAATCTAAAACTACAGAATTCGAAAAACAGACAGAATATCGGGCCAAGAATACCAGGGCGGGCAAGGTTCGAAAAGTCTAAAGAATTCCCAAAGCCTGTTCGAAAACATATACTGTTTTCATATTTTTTGGAAATCGTTTTTTTTTTTTTTTTTTTTTTTTGGGTCCGCGTTCGGCCGAACGGCCAAATGCGTCGAGAGGGGGTGCCGAACGTTCGGCCGTTCAGGTTCGGGCGTTCGGCCCGTTCCGAACGGCGGCAACCCTGATAATAATAATAATAATAATAACGTCGTCAAAATAATATATATAAGTGGCCGCATGGTCGGGGTTATATTAATTTTCCAGTCGTCTTTAAATTTTATGGCGGCGTGACCCGCCGACTTTCCCATACCGGCCGGTCTGACGCCCCTGGACTCGTTCTAATTCATTTTTGCCTTGCTGCCTGAGCCTTTGACTGATTTAGATCGTGGTCGCTGCATCCCGCGTGACCTTTTCTTGTTCTCTTCTAATCCGCTGGCCCTTGCGGCGGAAGACTTAATTTTTAATAACCTTTACCTGTTTTCGTACACGTCGTATCACTGCATATGACCACCTAGAAACCTCGGTCTCGGTGATCGAGAAGTTTTACTTGAAGATGCCATGCCAAAAAATTCTCACTTTTCCTCCAGACCATCCCTGGTATGACAACCGGCGTTGATACTGTATCGAATGCAAAATCATGAGCAAATACCCTTGTAAGGGTGTTTGCTTCGACAGTGCGCTTACATTTCTTCCACATAAAAAAAAGTTTTTCCACGCGGAGTACAAAAATACAAAAAAAGTGAAATAGCGCAGAGGAAACTGCCCCCGTCGTCGGGTAGGGGATATTAATTAATGGGCCCAGCTGCACTGAGCTCGACAGAGCTGGGGTGCTGTCCAAGCTTAGGTAGTCTCATATTCTCAGATATTCTTAGCCGAAGCCGGGTAATGGCCCGGGTATCTCAATTGTTTTGCATACGTTTCCTAACATGTTTTCTGCTGGGACGCTGGGCCTGGTTCCCAGCACGTGCTGCTCCCCACGAATAGATTGGAGCATTGTTTTCAAAAAAAAAAAAAAAAAAAAAAAAAAAGAGCTTGACATTCACAAAAGACAAAACATATGGAAGTGCATCTTTGGAGAGCCGTGCAGAGAGGCCCGATGGTGAAGGCTTTCCTTTCTCGCACAGGCCGTGGCCATCTGGTGATGCAGGGTTTTTGCCCTCTCTCTTTTTGTTTTTGGTTCATGGGACTGGGGGTCTCCCCCTCTATAGCTTGATGTGCACCGCCCCAGAGAGGAGGACTCACAGATCACCTTCGACAAAAGAAGGTGAACTCGTGCAGCCAATGGGGAAGCACCGAGTTCACCGCCTGCCTGCCTCAATAAGCCAACGTGAAAATGAAGAGAATGCCCTTGCCCTTCGATCTTCGATCCATGGCTATCGGCAATGGCAAGGAGTGTCACACAACAGGGAGGTCCCCATTACTGGGTCCGCAATGGCAAGGAGTGTCACACAACAGGGAGGTCCCCATTACTGGAACCGGAGCGATGCGAGTGGGACTTGGCCCCGGAGGTCCACAAAGGGCGTTTCAGAAAGTTGCATTCCCTGCAGACAGGGCCCTGCAGAAAAGTTTACTGGCCCCAGGGGCACGGGAAGAAGCAAATAAATTCAACTTTGAGGGGCACGACACAAAGTTTCCCTTCCCCCCCAAAAAAACGACAACAAGGAAAAGGAAACCAAGGACCGAACCGTCACTCGCCAGAAACCAGCCCAACCCCGACCCAATCGGCAGAACGGCACACGCACCTAACTGCTATAATGGGCCTCGCTGCACTACTCTCGACATCCACAAAAGACAAAAATCATGGCGGTGTATCTCTCCATATTCTACGGGAAGATTCACTCTCGTTTTGCACATTTCGAGAGGAGTGCAGCGAGGCCCAATGCATAGGTAAGGAGCTCTAGTCCAGACCGACAAACAAAAATCTTGTTCGCCCTTGTGTCCTTTTTTTTTTTTTTCACTGCATTTTTTTTTTTTCTTTTTTTTTTTTTTTCACTCTTACTGATTCTCCCGCGTCGCCGGTGGATAATCGCCTCAGCTCTGCGCATCGCATCGAGAACGGAGGTGGCCGCCTTTCCAGCCACGAACCTCTGATGGTCCTTTCTCGCCCTCCGCTGACAGATGATTGTTTACAGGCGAGTGTTTCTGGATGGTCTTTTCGTAAGATGAGAGGAGGAGGGAAGAGGATAGAAGAGGAGGGAGTTTGTCCGTCCGGTCGTCGAAAGGGTGTAGGCCTGTGGAAGGGGTGTGTAATTCCGGTCGGAGGTGTGTGTGTGTAATACCGGTCGCAGGGGGTGCCTTAGTTTCAGGCCCCTCTCCCACCCCATCAGTATGTCTAGAAAAGAGTTGATTGGCGCCTAAGCCGGTGACGATGACCGTCTCCGTAGCCGCAGTGACGGTACTGGTGACGTGTCCTCGTTCGTCGGCGGGCGGGATTCCCATCTAGGATGCGGAATAGGATTTAGAAAGGTGAGGTTTTTATCTGTTTTTTTTTTTGTTTTTGTTTTTTTTTCCATCTGTTCCCCCCCTCCTCCCCCCCTCCCCCCTTCCCCCCCTCCGAAGACCATTTCAGACATTTCTTGATTTATGCGTGATGCTTGCGCTGTGGCCATGCTAATGAATCATCACTTGTATCTTTCCAATTTTAACAGATGTTCCTCCGCACGGGGACTTTTTACTTTTCTTTTGCCCTCAGCATCTTCGCCATCCTGCTCTGTCGTGTATTATTGTTCTGTGTTTTTTTTTTTTTTTTTTTTTTTGATTTTTTGAATTGTTCTGTGTTTTCTTTTCTTCTTCATAATTAAAGAGTTTATTTTATTTTAACGGATGATCCTATACACGACAAGCCAACTTTTCCCTTTTCGTTTGCCCTCTGACTCAGCTTCTTCCCCATCCTGCTCTGTCGTGTATTCTTCTGTGTTACCTTCTTCTTCTTCAAAACTAAAGAAAAGATGTTTTGGAAAAAAATGGAAAGCTTCTCTTATGTCCTCCCTTCTTTCTTCGTTGACTTGTGGCTCTCGTGTCTCCATGCAGAGGGGGCAGAAAGTGGGTAGTGTTAATTAATTAAAATTAGAACTCTCTCCCCCCCTCGCCCCTCGCCCCCCGCCTTTTTCCTGGGCCCCCCTTTTTCCATTTTAAAGTCCTCATTCCCAAATTAATCAAACAGGTATGCGTTTCCTTGCGGGAGGCTTGGTCGCCATAGATGATTATTTTTCTTTTAGTTTTTCATAGTTTAATTTTCTACTTGTTTGATATCCAACCTTTTTTCTCCCTCCTCCTCCTCCTCCTCCTCCTCCTCCTCCTCCTCTCTTCTGCATCCTTCCTCCTTCACGTCTCTCCCCTTCCCCTCCTTCATGCTTCTTCTTCCTCCTCCATGCTTCTCCCTCCTGCTCTTCCTCGTCCTCTGTCTCCTTCTACTCCTCTTTTCCACTGTCTCCTTCTACTCCTCTTTTCCTCCTCCCCCTCCTCTTTCCATTGCCTGTCAGCAGGCTCCCGTCAAACTCTCTCTCTCTCTCTCTCTCTCTCTCTCTCTCTCTCTCTCTCTCTCTCTCTCTCTCT